CCTGATTACCATGTGAGTTGCTTTTCTCTGCCACATTCTTCTACCAAGATGTTCAGCCTCACATCAAGCCCCAAGGAATGGAGGCAGTCTTTCATGGTCCAAGACTTCTGAAACTATGAGCCCCTAAATAAACCTTTCCTCTTGTAAAATTGGTCAGCTCTTTTAGCCACAGCAGAGAAAAAGTTGAATAAAACAGCACTTGATGGCCATGTAAAAGGCCCTGGGTTAGATTCCCAGCACACAAAAAAATAAAAAAAAAGAATTTATTAGCCGAGCATGGTAACACATGCCTGCAATCCCAGTGGCTCAGGAGGCTGAGGCAGGGAGATCAGAGTTCAAAGCCAGCCTCAACAACTTAGAGAGGCCCTAAGGAACTCAGCAAGACCCTCTCTCAAAATAAAAAAGGGCTGGGGATGTTGCTTAGTGATTAAGTGCCCCTGAATTCAAACACTGGTACCAAAAAAAAAAAAAAAACCCACAAACAAAATTGTATATTTAAATCTGTAATGTCAATATCTGTAAAAGAATCTGAGAGGGACTGAGTTGAGTGACAGAGCATGTGCTTATTAGCATGTACAAAAGCCTTAATTTAAACTCAGCTTCAAAAGAGAGTTACTAAGCTGAGATAAAACATAGTCTTTGCTTTTTTTAATATTTATTTTTTAGTTGTAGTTGGACACAATATCTTTATTTTGTTTGTTTATTTTTATGTGATGCTGAGGCTTGAATCTAGGCCCTTGCACTTATGAGGCGAGTACTCTATCTCTGAGTCACAAACTCATCCCCATAGTCACTGCTTCTATAAGTTATTTTTTAATAAGAAATACTAAAACTGTACTTAAGGGCTGGGGATGTGGTTTCAAGCGGTAGTGCGCTCACCTGGCATGTGTGCGGCCCAGGTTCGATTCTCAGCACCACATACAAAGATGTTGTGTCCGCCAAAAACTAAAAAATATTTAAAAATTTCTCTTTCTCTCTCTCTCTCTCTCTCTCTCTCTCTCTTTAAAAAAAATTAAAACTGTACTTAAAAGGCTAAGAAAAGAGGGTGTAGGAGGCAGGAAGATGGTGGAATTTGATGGTCATTATCCTAGGTACACATATGACTGCACATATGTTGTGACACTACATCATGTACAAAGAAATTAAAAGATGTGCTGCAATTGTGTACAATGAAACAAAATGCACTCTGCTGTCATATATACCTAATTAAAATAAATAAATAAATTTTAAAATAAAGGCTAAGAAAAAAAATGCCTCTAGGTATATAGTGTGAGCAAATGTTAAAGTAAGACAGACACTGAGATTCCAGAAACTACTCTCTGAAAAAATGGAGAAAAGATGCCACACAGGAATATATCTTTTTTCCAGAAGAACAAGACTTGTCCCCTTTTTCTTTTGGATTTACTGTTGTTGTTTTATTTTGTTGTTTTAACACATAAGAATATCAAAAAGGAAAAAACAACTAATAGGTTCTTGTCCACAAAAAGTCAGTTAGCTTTATTTCCTGCCAGTCTTAAACTACATCCTGAACGTTTATAACAATATCTGTTATCATTTATTGAAATATCACTGTAGGAAATTTTACTTGTATTATTCCTAATCAACACAATAATCCTGTAGAGTGTTACTACTCTTATAGGTGAGAAAAAAAAGTTCAGAAAGGACAACACAGTAAATGGCAATTCCAACACAATTGGTAAGGTTTATAAAGAGCTTTTCTTTGTTCTCTTAGAAACTTGGGGAGAATAAAACAATAAAAGAATGGACTGACTCAAGTAAAATAACTGCAGAAACAAGTTAGATCAACTGAAGCATTAACGATGTCAGATTTATAGTATCATCTTTACACAAACAAACAAAAAAAAAAAAAACCAGACAAGATATCTCCTGACTTATTTTACACCAAGGAACAAGGACGTTTTCTAAAAGACACATTCAAATAAGTAAAATAGCACTTATAGGTAAAACTTAAGGTGGGTATTTTCTTTTTCTTTTTATAAAGTGAGAGAGAAAGAGAGAGAGAGAATTTTTTTTTAATATTTATTTTTTAGTTTTCAGCAGACACAACATCTTTGTTTGTATGTGGTGCTGAGGATCGAACCCAGACCGCACGCATGCCAGGCGAGCGCACTACCGCTTGAGCCACATCCGCAGCCCAAGGTGGGTATTTTCTTGAGAGAGCCTAATTGTAAAGGTCAAGCATTAATGATAGGCATTCAAAATATAGAAATTCTTCCTTCCAGGAAATCATGATCCAGTGATAGAAGTGAAAAAATACAGTAGCAATTTCAAAATGGTATGACAAATAATACCACAGAAGTAGTACAGGTTTTATGGAAGCACAATAGATGGCCAAGTGACCTAGTCTTAGAAGATATACAATGAGTCAGGCAGCAAACATCATGTTAAAATTCGAAATGATTTTGTAGGAATTGCGAAGCCAAAGATTTTTAAGCAAATAAGTGCAAAGATCTACAATCTGAATTCTTAAAAGAAAGTTGAAGCTGGGCCTGTAATCCTAACAGCTTGGGATGCTAAGGCAAGAGGACTGCAAGGTCCAGCCTCAACAACTTAGCTAGGCCCTGAGCAACTCAGCAAAACCCTGTCTCTAAATAAATATAAAAAAGGGCTGGGAGATGTGGCTCAGTGGTTAAGTGCCCCTATGTTCAATCCCTGGTACCAAAAAAAAAAAAGAAAGAAAGTTACAATAAATTTAATGAAATGTGTGGAGGAAAATCTGAAGGCAGAAAAGCCAGTTTTAGACTCTTTTACAAGAATCCAAATAACATTTGGTCAGGAAAAGAGATGGAAATGGAAAAGAACAGACTTCAGTATCATTTAAGAGGTAAAAACTAAATCATGTAGTAACCAGGAATAAAAGATGAAAAGGGTCAAAAACATGATTCTGAGGTTTATTAGCTTGAGACAAATGAATGGTTTTACTATCAAATAAGACAGAAGATACCAGGAGGGGGAAAAAAGAAATCTGGAAGAAACCACAATAATTCAGTTCATTACTTACTGGATGTGATCTACAGGCAGGTGGAAAACTCCAATAAACAAATGGAAATAGGGACTAAAGGAAAGAAGTTAATATCTACAGAGAAGGTCAATCTTTATGCTTTCCACAATAATAGAAATTTCTATGGTTGTGCTAATACAATAGATACTGGCCTCATGTAGTAGCTTTGTCCCCTTGATTGTGACTAGTGCAATATAGGAACTGATTTTTAATTAATTTTAATTAAAATAGCTATAGGCAGTTAATGGCTATTGTACTAGATTACATCTAAAGACTTAATTCACATTTATCTCTTTTTTTTTTTTTTTTTTGCAATTCTAGAGATCAAAGACTTTGCACCTACTAGTATTCTACTATTAAGCTGTACCTCAGGTGCATTCACATTTTCTTTCTTTCAATTTCCTGACACACAAAAGATTAAGATTTCTAATTGATTTAACTTATTCCAACAGTTGTAAAATATACCATTAGGTTAAAATATATTATGAAATTATAATCCATCCTCTGCCGAACAGCATAATTACTTTCTTTTAAGTAACTCATAATTCCATTTACAAATCATATGAAACTGAATAACAATTGCCTGGTCTTGGCAAGTTAGCATGAAAGTACAACTACAAAACAAACCATACATGTGTAAAGAGGCTTAATTTCAGCTGAGCGTAGTGGTGCACACCTGTAATCCTAGGCTGAGGCAGTAGAATCCCAAGTTTGAGGTTAGCCTCAGCAATTTAGCCAGGCCCTAAGCAACTTAGCAAGATCCTATCTCAAAATAAAAAATCAATAGGGCTGGGAAGTGGCTGGGTGGTTAAGGTTAAGAACCCCTAGGTTCAATCCCCAGTAACAAAAAAAAGGGCGAGGGGGGGAAAAAAGGCTTAATTTGAAACCTACAACTTCAAACTACTGACCTCTCCATCACTATCAGATATCACAATGAATGCATCCTCAAGTCTACGCTTCCTCTTCACACTGACAGAACTGGTAGCTTCAGCATCCTTCTTCTCCAGGTTTTGAGATTCAGAGGCTTCTTTAACTTTTTTCTTTCTGCGTGGCATCGTTTTATCTGAAATACAAGGTCAAATAATTTACTTGAAGTATAAATTTCCTAGAAGTGATTCAATTTAGTCATGTAAAATAAAAAGATATTCATCCTACAAGTAAAAACTGGATTTCAGAACTTTTCTACTACTCATTAAAAATTACATTCTTTTTGGAGCTGGGATTGTAGCTCAGTGGTAGACTGCTTGCTTCGCACCTTTGAGGACCTGGGTTTGATGCTCTGCACAACATTAAAAAAATAAAGTGAAATAAAAATTATTCTTTTCTATAGAGAAAAAAATACACACACAAATCTTGTTTCTGTGAAATTTTAATAGCAATAATATAACAATATTATATTATTATACATTAGCTTAGATAACTAATTTTCTAAACTACACATTAATAATTTGCCTAAAAAATATTTTTTAAAATACCAATGTCTCAAGCAAGCATGGTGGCTCACACCTGTAATCCCAGCTATTCAGGAAATTGAAGCAGGAGGATTACAAATTTGAAGGTAGCCAGGCACAATGGCACATGCCTGTAATCCCAGCCAATAGAGAGGCTGACTCAGGAGGACCACAAGTTCAAAATCAGCCTCAGCAACTTAGCTAGACCCTAAGCAATTTAGCAAGACCCTATCTCAAAATGAAAAATAAAAAGAGTCGGAGATGTAGCTCAGTGGTAAAGTGCCCCCTGGGTTCAATCCTCAGTATCTAAAAAAAAAGCTGGCAACGTAATGTTGTCACATGTGAAGTCCTAAGGTTTAATCTCCTGTACACCCCAAAAAATTAAACTTATTAAGTTTAATTCAAAAGATATAATAGAAAGCAAACAAAATTTTAAAAATAAAAAAATTAATTAAAGTTTTTAAAATGTTTTTTTTTTGTTGTTGTTGTTGTTGTTTTTTTGTTTTTTGTTTTTTTTTTTAATTGGATTCAGCTTTCTGGGTTCTTTAATTTACTATATATGTCCTCTACACTAAATGTGATTAATTGCAAAAAAATAATCTCTTCAAGAAACCTTCATAACAAAATACCAGATTCCCTATTAACAAGAAAAGGGGATCAAGTTTAACARGCCAAAACAGAAGACAGGAGTCTGTCAAAACATATAGATGGCACAAGACAGCTCTGACCTCAGACCCCCTGTGCTGAAGGAGTCACTGGCCAAACTCCAAGGTGTAAGAGCTGTAAATAACCAGAGTCAAATGAGAAATACAAGAATGTTTCCCATTTAGTCATCYTCTGAGCTCTCCGCAGACCTTTCATCTGTARCCACTTTCCAATTTGTGCGTTTGTTTGTCCTCTCCTGTATTTCATTGTTAACTATGGGGATATGGACATTTTTCTCTCTCTTTTTCCTTTTGGTTTTCTCATTGTCTCTTTCCTCACTCTCCTCAGAACTGCTGGATGCTGAATCATCTGACTGGGAAGTGTCACTTTCTGCCCCTACAAATAAAGCAGATTTTTTGAGAGACTTTTTCCTAGATTTTTTCTTGCGCTTATGTGGTTGTTTTCTTTTCCTGGTACTAGAAGCCCCAGTTTCTTCTGAGTACTCGCTTGAGGAATCTGCTGTTACATCTGTGGCTTCCTTCTTGCTTTTCTTCTGTTTTTTGTGTGATCTTTTTTTCTGCTTCTTTTTGTGAGATTTCTTTGACTTCTTATGTTTGCGGGATTCGTGAGTAGATGATTTTACCTGGGGAGATGTTTTTTTCCCATTGGTAATATCTTGCTGATCACTACTGTCTGTTTCAAACTCTTCAGGGTACAATTCTTTATAACCACTGTGACCCCATCTGTCTGGCATGTTAGCTTCATAATCATATAGCTTCTTATTCCAGGATTTAGCTTTCAGAAAATCATCTTCCAGAGTCCCAGCAATTTCATTCTTTGGCCTCCAGTAGTCTCTTTGACTTTCTTCATCAAAACCATCACTACGCATCTGACTTGAACTGCTGGGTAACATTTTCCTTTTCGTCCCCTGGTAAGCATCCTCCATCTGTTTCTCTAGTTCTCTTATTTTCCACATATCTGACTCCTCCTGAATCTTATTGTGAGCATCTGTATGCCGGATGACATTCCTCAGGAGGACTTTCCCCAATGGAACCCGAGACATTCTTCAATCCCTCAATCCTGAGGAAATCAGGCATCTTGTTAGTGTGAGACGAAGAACCACTCCATTACAAGATCGTGCGTCGCAGCCTCGCGTGGCCTTTAAAATGTTTTTTAAAAAAATTTTTAATTAAAAAATAAAATAAGAGTGGCTGGGATTGTGTCTCAGGAGTAGAGTGTTCACCTAGCACATTCGAGGCCCTGGGTTCGATCCTCAGCACCACATAAAAATAAATAAATAAAGGTATTGTGTCCAACTACAACTAAAAATAATTAATTAATTAATTAATTAATAAAATAAGAGTTAGGCATGCAGCTCAGTGATAGGGCATTTAACTCGCATGCTTGAGGCCCTGGGTTCAATAACCAATAGCAAAAAAAAGATTCAACTTAATAAAGGGATTCTACCAAAAATCCACAGTTAATACTCTAATATATTTAAAAGCAAAAGTTTAATTCTTCCTCCTTAAGACAAAGAACAGGGGAGAGGGAAGAATAGAAATTCACTGGATTAGACAAAGGTGAACAAAGGGAAGAAGGAAGATGGGAATAGGAAAGAATGAATCAGACGAAACTTTCCTATATGACCAATAAAACTCCACATCATATACAACCACAAGAATGGGATCCTAATTAGAATAAGTTATGCTCCATGTATGCATAATATGTCAAAATACACTCTATTATCATGAATATATAAAAAGAATTTTTAAAAAAGAGCAAAATAAGAATGTTTGCTTTCACTAGATACCATGGTATAGGCCTGTAATCCCAGCTACTTTAGAGGTTAAGGCAAGAAGATTGTGAATTGGAGGTCCTCCTGGGCAATATAAGGATATTCCATCTCAAAAAAAAAAAAAAGTGCAGTGGTACATTTCTGTAATCCCAGTTACTAGGAAGGTTGAGACAGGAGAATGGCAAGTTCAAAGTCATCCTAGACAACATAGTAAGACTGTGTCTCAAAACAAAAAAATTTAAAAGGCTGGGGATGTAGATCAATGCTAGAGAGCCCCTGAATTCAATCTCCAGTACCACCCCCTGCAAAAGAAAACCAGAAAAACAATCTCTAGGGCTGGGGGTTATGGCTCAGAGGCAGAGCACACCTAACACGTGTGAGGCCCTGGGTTCAATCCTCAGCACCACATAAAAAATAAAGGTATTGTGTTCAATTACAACTAAAAAATAAATATTAAAAAAAAATCTCTGGGCTGGGGATGTGGCTCAAGCGGTAGCGCGCTCGCCTGGCATGCATGCGGCCCGGGTTCGATCCTCAGCACCACATACCAACAAAGATGTTATGTCCTCTAAGAACTAAAAAATAAATATTAAAAAAAAAATTCTCTCTCTCTCCCCTCTCTCTCTCTCTTAAAAAAAAAAATCTCTACTTTCATCACTAAAAATTATAGTGAAGGCTCTAAGCAGGTTAATTAGAGAAGAAGAAATAAAAGGCATTCAAATTAGGAAGTAAAACTATTAACCACTTGCAGATGTCATGATCATGTTTAAAAAACAAACAAACAAACAAACAAAAACCACTAATGAATTCCCTAAAAAAACAACTAAAGAACAAGTTCAACAAGGTTGCAGGATACAAGGTCAATCAATATAAAAAAAACAATTACACTGCTATACACTAGTAATAATCCAAATTTAAATTTTAAAAATTCCATTTCTAATAGCACCTAAACCAATAAAGTCCTTAAGAATACATTAAAAAAAAAAAGAAAGAAAGTTCAAGACTTAGAACTAAAAACTTAAAACAATATTGAAAGAGGGTAGGAACATAGCTCAGTTGTAGAATGCTTGCCTAGCAAGTATCACCAGGTCCACCAAATACAAACAAAACACACACACATATTTGAAAGAAAATAAAGGAGATCTAAACAAATGCAAAGCCCTCCCATGTTCATGAAGTGGAAAGACTTGTTACTATAAATATGGAAATACTTTCCAAATTGTTCTACAGATACAACATAATCCCTAATAAAATCCCAGTTTGGGGCTGGGGTTGTGGCTCAGCATATAAATAAGTAAAATAAAAGTCCACTGACAACAAAACAATATTTTTTTTTAAATCCCAGTTTGCTTTTTTGTGGAAATAAGACAAGCTGATCTTAAAATTCATTTGAAAATGAAAGGGTCCCAGAATAGCTAAAGCAATCCTGGGGGTGGGGAGCAAACTTTGATTTGGAGTACTCAAACATCCCAATGCCAAAACTTACTGCAAAACCATAGTTGCCAAGACTGTGCTCACACACTTGCACTGACATAAAAACAGATAAATGGATCAATAGAATAGAACTGAGATTGTAAAAACCCAAACATTTACTGTTAACTAATTTTATATTGCAGTAACATGATAATTAATGGAAATAGTCTTTTCAATAAATGATACACATAAAAAGAAAATGAAATTGGACCCATCTTACACACACATAACAATTGTGTAAACTGAATTAAAGACCTAAATGTAGGAATAAAATCTATGAAACTCTTTTAAGAGAAAATTCAGGGCTGGGGTTGTAGCTCAGTGGTAGAGCACTTGCCTAGCATATGGAGGAACTGGGTTTGATTCTCAGCACCACATATAAATAAATAAAATAAAGGTCCGGGCTGGGGTTGTGGCTCAGCGGTAGAGCGCCTGCCTAGCGTGTGCAAGGCCCTGGGTTCGATCCTCAGCACCACATAAAATAAATAAAATAAAGGTACTGTGTCCAACTACAAAAAAAAATTCTAAAAAATAAATAAATAAAGGTTCATCAACAACTAAAAATTTTTTTTTAAAAAAAGAAAATTCATCATAAAACTTTTGTCACCTTTGATAGCCAATACTATATTAAATATGACACCAAAATCACAATAAAAGAAATAGAAAAATCAGACCTGATCTAAATTAAAAACCTTTATGCTTCAAACCATAAAGCATCAAGAAAGTAAAAAAAAAAAAAAAATTAAAGAACAGGAGGAAAAATTTGCAAATTATCTAAGGAACAAAGGATTTATATAAAGGACACTTGCAACGCCATAGTAAAAAAGCAAATAACCCAACTAAAAAATGGGATAAGCACATGAATAAACATTTCTCCAAAGAAGATATACAAATGACCATAAAGCACATAAAAGATGTTCAATGTTATTAGACACTGTGAAATACGAATCAAATTACAATGAGATACCACTTCACACTATGATGACTATGAAAAGAAAAATAACAAGTACTGGTAAGAATGTAGATAAATTAGAATCTAGTACACCAATGGGAATGTAAGATGCAGCTGCTGTAAAGTAATGAAGTGTTTATTGATTCATGAACCTTGAAAACACCACACTAAGTGAAAGAAAACAGACACAAAAAACACATTGTTAAGATTCCATTTACATAAAATATCCAGAATAGGAAATCCACTGAGACAAAAAGTAGACTAGTCATAGGGCTAGGGAAAGGAAAATGTAAAACGGTTTTTAACAGCTATGGGTTTTCTTTTGGGGTTAATGATAAAGTTCTGTAAAAAAGAAAATGGTAAAGATTGTTCAACACTGTATATATGTGGCAGAGTGCTTGCCTCACATGTGTGTGAGGCATTGGGTTCAATCCTCAGCACCACGTAAATAAATAAAATAAAGGCATGTGTCCAGCTACAACTAAAAAAAAAAAAGCCACTAAATTATACACTTCAAATGGCTAAAATGGTAGATTTTATGTTGTGAATTTTACTTCAGTTTTTAAAAGTGGATCCCCAATTTATTTTTACAACCACAACAAAGAATCAGACTCAAATATTTATTTTTTTTAATTTTAATATTTATTTTTTAGTTTTCAGCGGAGACAACAACTTTGTTTGTATGTGGTGCTGAGGATCAAACCCGGGCTGCATGCATGCCAGGTGAGCGCACTACCGCTTGAGCCACATCCCAGCCCCAGACTCAAATATTTAAACAGAACAATCTTAACTTTGTTACTAACTTTCAAATCTATTAACTATTCCATTATTCCTAAGGGAGCTATTATATATTATCTTAATGCTAAGATTAAGCATTAAGATCTTTCTACTAAAACTACTTCAGGGATAAAAGACTGTAAATTGAGAGATGCCAATAAAATAGTATACACCCAGATGCGCCAAGTGACAAAATTATTCCACATATGAATACAAGCACAAATATGAATAAAAGTTTTAAATTGATACATGAAAATCATATTAATGGAGTACCATGTAATGTTTCAATACACATATACATTGTGTAATGTTTAAATCAGGTTGATATATCTATTTCCTCAAATATTTTTCACTTCTTTGTAGTAAAAACTTTCAAAATCCTGTCTTCTAATATTTTGTAGGTTTTTATTATCTATAATCACCCTACTATGCAACAGAACACTAAAGCTTCTTGTTCCTGTCTCTTAATAACCCAGATATCAACCTTTCCTCATTCCTCCCACCCTTCACTCTCCCAGCCTCTGGGAACCACCATTCCACTCTCAACTTTCACTGAAATCAACATTCTTTTTTTTTTTTTTAATTCCACATGAGTGAAATCATATGGTACTTGTCTTTCTGTGCCAGGTTTATTTCACTTAACATAAAGGTCTCGGTACTACTGTGTTGTCACAAACCAGAGTTTCATTCATCTTTATGACTGAATAGTATTCTATTTTATGTTCTACAGGTTGCTTCCATTTCTTGGCTATTACTGCAATGAACATGAGAGTGCAGAACTCTCTTCAACATAATGATTTCATTTCCTTTGGATATATATCCAGGAATGGGACTGTTAAATCATATAAAGGTTCTGTTTTAAATTTTTTGAGGAATTTTCATACTGTTTTGCTTTGCTTGTGGTGCTAAGGATTGAACCCAGGACTTCAAACTTGCTAGGCAAGGATTCTACCATTGGGTTACATGCCCAGTCCCCCAACCATACTGACTTCCATAATAGCTATAATAATTTACATTCCCACAACACGAGTTCCTTTTCTCCACATCTTTTGATGTCTCTTTCTTCAAGTGCTAGGGATGGAACTCAGGGCCTCATTCATGCTAGGCAAACACTCTACCACTGAGGTACACCTC